CCTTTCCTGGGAATCACGCTAGCGCGGCTGCAGCTCTTGCATGCTCTCACAAAAGCTTCAGGAATGGTCGCTAACTCCACCAAGGCCCAAGTGCTGAAGTCCGCCGACATTGTTCGGCGTCTCGGATACTTACTAGAGGATAGAGGATAACCCCCCCCCGCTTACCCCCCCTGCCCGACATCAAAAACGTAGTTTTTTTTTTTGAGGGGGGGGGGGTCCCCCACGTACCGCGCGGCAATTTGATGACGTTCCACTAAACGGTGTCCCAAAACAGGGGTCCCAGGCTCGATTCCCCCTGCCAGCTTTTTTGCTGGCTTGGGCTTCCTGCATCCTTTTGCCGAAAATTTCGAAAAAACTCTGTGTTTTTAGGCGTCCTCTTTGCAAAAATGCTGGAAAAAACGTGTTTTTTTGCGGGAAATACTGGGGAGCACAGGGGAAATGCAAGGATACATACATGCATACATACATACATTACATACATACATGCATACATACATACATACATACATACGTACATACATACATACATACATACATACATTACATACATACATACATACATACGTACATACATACATACATTACATACATACATACATACATTACATTACATACATTACATACATTACATACGCTACATACATTACATTACATTACATTGCATTGCATTACATTACATTACATTACATACATACATTACACACATACCGACATACATACATACATACATACATACATTACATTACATTACAGTACATTACATTACATTCCATTCCATACATACAAACATACAAACATACATACATTACATACATTACATTACATTACATTACATTACATTACATTACAATACAATACATTACATACATACATTACATTGCATGCATGCATACATACATACATTACATACATGCATACGTTACATACATACATACATACATACAGACAGACAGACAGACATACATGCATGCATACATACATACGAGAGAGGGAGATTGGGGAGAGAGAGGCTTGGAGGGATGGGGAGGATGGGAGCTGAGGGAGAGAGGACGACAGAACACACAAATAACACAAGGGAGAGAGGAAGAAGGAGAAAAGGGAGAGGACAACGTCCGCGGCCTGAGCCGGAAGCTCTAAAGTATTTGCTGTACGTTTTTTCTGAGCCAGCACTCATTCAGGAGATGTACTTCTTCAGCTGCCTTCTTGCTGCCAACAAGGCATGTTTTACCTCTCTGATGGCCGCCCCTACCGTCCCTGCTCACCCGAAACACTTTCGCGCAACTTCTGCTAGCGCCGAGCTAGCGCGTCTCTAGCGCAAAAGTCTGGCTGGCAAAATCAAGCAAAAGATGCAACAGGCAAGTGGAAGATCAGAAGTTCAGGAATTTCGCTCTGCGAATGCCTTCATGCCACTGCTTCCTTCAAATGGGCTGTGTTTTTTGATGCTCGGGCCATACACTGCACACACGCCTACGCGAGCGCCTACGCAAAGCCTCCGCGACTGCAAAGGGCGCCTACGCGCGCGCATTCGCGTCTTCCTTGTCTATTTGAGACATTCCTTTCCCGATTGCGGCTTGTGTTATTTAGCTCTGATACAGGACATCCGCTTTGGCAGCTCCAGCTCCAAAACTGCAACTTTTGAGTACGAGTGTAGTATGCTCGAAGTGCACCAATGGACAACTGCATACTGCACCGGGAAGCTTACATGAGTGCCTCTGAACCACAATTTCTACGGACGGCTGCATCAACTCGGCATGTGGGTGTGGGTGTGGGTGTGCGTGTGCGTGTGCGTGTGCGGGTGCGCGTGCGCGTGCGCGTGCGGGTGCGGGTGCGGGTGCGGGTGCGGGTGCGCGTGCGGGTGCGGGTGCGCGTGGCGAGTGCGTGCGTGGGTCGGTGGGTGTGTGTGTGTGTGGTTGGGTGGGTGGCTGTGGGTGGGTGGGTGTGGGTGGGTGGGTGGGTGGGTGAGTGGGTGGGTGGGTGTGGGTGGGTGGCTGGGTGTGTCTGTGTGTGTGTGTGTCTGTGTCTGTGTCTGTGTCTGTGTGTGTGTGTCTGTGTCTGTGTCTGTGTGTGTGTGTGTCTGTGTGTGTCTGTGTATGTGTGTCTGTGTGTGTCTGTGTATGTGTGTCTGTGTGTGTGTGTGTATGTGTGTCTGTGTGTGTCTGTGTGTGTCTGTGTGTCTGTGTGTGTCTGTGTGTGTCTGTGTGTGTGTCTGTGTGTGTGTCTGTGTGTGTGTCTGTGTGTGTGTCTCTGTGTGTCTCTGTGTGTCTCTGTGTGTCTCTGTGTGTCTCTGTGTGTCTGTGTGTCTCTGTGTGTCTCTGTGTGTCTCGTCTCTGTGTGTCTCTGTGTGTCTCTGTGTGTCTCTGTGTGTCTCTGTGTGTCTCTGTGTGTCTCTGTGTGTCTCTGTGTGTCTCTGTGTGTCTCTGTGTGTCTCTGTGTGTCTCTGTGTGTCTCTGTCTCTGTGTCTCTGTGTGTCTCTGTGTCTCTGTGTGTCTCTGTGTGTCTCTGTGTGTCTCTGTGTGTCTCTGTGTGTCTCTGTGTGTCTCTGTGTGTCTCTGTGTGTCTCTGTGTGTCTCTGTGTGTCTCTGTGTGTCTCTGTGTGTCTCTGTGTGTCGTGTGTCTCTGTGTGTCTCTGTGTGTGTGTGTCTCTGTGTGTCTCTGTGTGTCTCTGTGTGTCTCTGTGTGTCTCTGTGTGTCTCTGTGTGTCTCTGTGTGTCTCTGTGTGTCTCTGTGTGTCTCTGTGTGTCTCTGTGTGTCTCTGTGTGTCTCTGTGTGTCTCTGTGTGTCTCTGTGTGTGTGTCTCTGTGTGTCTCTGTGTGTCTCTGTGTGTCTCTGTGTGTCTCTGTGTGTCTCTGTGTGTCTCTGTGTGTCTCTGTGTGTCTCTGTGTGTCTCTGTGTGTCTCTGTGTGTCTCTGTGTGTCTCTGTGTGTCTGCGTGTGTCTGCGTGTGTCTGCGTGTGTCTGCGTGTGTCTGTGTGTGTCTGTGTGTGTCTGTGTGTGTCTGTGTGTGTCTGTGTGTGTCTGTGTGTGTCTGTGTGTGTCTGTGTGTGTCTGTGTGTGTCTGTGTGTGTCTGTGTGTGTCTGTGTGTGTCTGTGTGTGTCTGTGTGTGTCTGTGTGTGTCTGTGTGTGTCTGTGTGTGTCTGTGTGTGTCTGTGTGTGTCGTGTGTGTGTGTCTGTGTGTGTCTGTGTGTGTCTGTGTGTGTCTGTGTGTGTCTGTGTGTGTCTGTGTGTGTCTGTGTGTGTCTGTGTGTGTCTGTGTGTGTCTGTGTGTGTCTGTGTGTGTCTGTGTGTGTCTGTGTGTGTGTCTGTGTGTGTCTGTGTGTGTGTCTGTGTGTGTCTGTGTGTGTCTGTGTGTGTCTGTGTGTGTCTGTCTGTGTGTGTCTGTGTGTGTCTGTGTGTGTCTGTGTGTGTGTGTGTGTGTGTGTGTCTGTGTGTGTGTGTGTCTGTGTCTGTGTGTGTCTGTGTCTGTGTGTGTGTGTGTCTGTGTGTCTGTGTGTGTCTGTGTGTGTGTGTGTGTCTGTGTGTGTCTGTGTGTGTCTGTGTGTGTCTGTGTGTGTCTGTGTGTGTCTGTGTGTGTCTGTGTGTGTCTGTGTGTGTGTGTGTCTGTGTGTGTGTGTCTCTGTGTGTGTGTGTGTGTTTGTGTGTGTGTGTGTGTTTGTGTGTGTGTGTTTGTTTGTTTGTGTGTGTCTGTGTCTGTGTCTGTGTCTGTGTCTGTGTCTGTGTCTGTGTCTGTGTCTGTGTGTCTGTGTCTGTGTCTGTGTCTGTCTCTGTCTTCGTTTGCGTCTGTCTCTGTCTCTGTCTCTGTCTGTGTCTGTGTGTGTGTGTGTGCGAGTGGCGCTGAACATGCCAACAGAACACAACAAGTAGCACCGTCTGCATGCAATGGCCGCCAACATCTAAGTGGCCAGCTGTCAAAAGAAGCAGTGTGGTGCACACGAGCCACCAGGTTGTCTCACAGACAAGGCGCGTTCGGACAGTCTTTGCAAGTTACTTTTGGGATAGCCTTCATCAAATCGCTCGTCGTCTCGAAGCAGTCAATGTGGATCGGTGTCGAATACCTCAAAGAGGTTCCAGACAGGACCAAATCACTCCGATGTCAAAATGCTATCCTGCGGAATGGCCAGGCATGGTTGAAAAGAACGTCCTCAAGCAAGGCAGAGCCTCAAGCAGTACTCACCCTGCTTCAAACTTGGGGCCCATTCGATATACAAACTTGCGCCCCAGCCCTACAATTCAAGCAGTACAAGCATGAACTCTCAATGAGAACTTGTGTGATGCATGGATTCTGCTTGGGCTTGTGCTTGCTTGCGCGAAACGGTTCTCCAGTCAAACTTCTGTCAAATAGATTGATCACCAAAACGTGGTATGTTCAAAGAGCACTTGCTTCAGATCCAGCACATCTAAGCACTATGACGGTGTCAAACAGCTCTGCAGGAGAACACCTTCCACCTCGAAGAACCCGCCACACATCTGGAGATGGGGGCGCCCAACTGCTAGCTGTCAAGCCCTTCTCGTTTGTTCTGGCAAAAGGCAGACCTTCACCAACAAGTTCGGCAGCAACCCCTCTGCACTTAGGCCAAGTGCGGCCTCCAGGCCTGAACTACTTCTTCTGATTGCATCTGAGAGACATGGACCCAACATCCAGTCCGACTGGACCGCCGTAGAGGCCGAGAGACACACTCCAGCCGATGTACATGTACACTCCTTCCAAGAGCTAGCCCCGAACTGTGTGAAACCAATGGCCTTTTCAGGCATGGGATTTGGGAGGCTGATGCGCCCTTCGGGAACGGGGGCGGCACTTCTCCCGGCCTAGAGCCGCTACGCCAAAAGTCACAAGAACGCATTGACATCCCCACATGGTATGGCCCCTCTTGAAACTCATGAAATCAAGCTTGTGCACAGCTTGCACAAGGGACGCTGGCGCATCCGCTCAGCATAGCGAGCACCTTGCGTATGCAAGTCAGAAGAAAGCTTCCTAGTTTCTCATGCGCGACGCTGTGCCCAGCCTGGCTCCCGGGCCTGGGGAACATAAGGCGGGCCGCCCAGACGCTCATCTGCATCCACCTCCAAGCGTGTCACTCATCAAGGCCCTCCGCCCGCCTCCGCTTTCCAATAGACGCCAATAGACAACTTCAACAACTGTGAGGCAAACATCATCGGCGCTTGCTCCTTCCTTGGAGAGCAAGGCATTCAACTTCAGTCAACTATGAGATGCTACGAGCACCTGCGCACACACCAAGCTGCATCACACTCGACTGCGCTGGTCGCAAACTCACGCGCTTTCAGGGCAACAAGCACGCGGAAAGGCAAACCAACTTGGCCATGTCCCACCTTATGTCCACCAGCTAAGAGCATTTGCCAGGTTGAAGCGGGCTCCTATGACAACCATTGCCACCACATGGCTGTGGGTCAAAAATAGGGTAGCCCCAAAATGGCCACCTGGTAAATGCAATGACTAAAACCTGCGGTTTCTCTGGTGGGTTCAATTTTCACCCATACCCACATAGGCTTCTTTGTGCGCATGTCGTCTGGGCCTCGAAGGTGACCCCCACACCCCACGAGACCACCGGGATCGGCATGGGCACGGACGCGCCAATCGCGGTGAAGAGGCTCGGGCCTTCCCAACCCGAAGGCAACTGGACGAGGAAAAAATCGGCTCCGCTCCAATTGGCAGCCAGCAAAACTGGTACAACTTGGCCTGTGAAAGGATGGCTTCGCCAGCAAAAACAAAAAACAAGGCCTCTGAACAAAGAACAAATGCTATATCTACCTATAAACATTCCCTCCAATTGGCAACAAACAAAACTGGTACAACTTGGTCCATGAAAGGATGAGTCAGAGTCAATCCAGCTTTGGCATCCATGGAGATTATGCTTTTCTTCAGGTTCCGTCAGATTGGTGGCTTGGATTGGTTTGGTGGTACGGGAGTGGTTTTCCATCTACCCACAAGAAGCAGGGGTTCAACCACCAATCCAAATCACCAATTAAGGGTGACCTGACAAAAGGCATGCGAGCAAAAGAACATTGGCCCTTCTTCCGGGAGGATCAAGATTGCAAACTGCCAATCTGTTACAGAAACACTGACTGGTGGGAAGTTTTCTAACAAGCAAAGTTTCTTCTACAGTATCCTCCGACAGCGGGGTGCTCCTCTCGTAAAATATCATTGTGTTCCTGGGCAAGGAACTGGCCAGGCTGGAAAGCGAAAGCAAATGGGCTGATGGGCCTGCTCATCACAAAAGCAGCAATCCTCATCTCTCCTTTGCAACAATTGAAAACAACCCGTGCCAGGCATAGTTCGCATCACACTAACGGCTTCCGGCTTGGCAGCACGCCCTGAAGAAAGATCAGCCGCTCAGCTGCTCAGCCCCTGCCTGGTCCGTAGTCGCCCAGGGATTGGTTCAGGTCACGGCGGCCCTGTGCCATTGACAAAGAGAGAGTGTGCATGAGGATGAATGTAGGAATTGCTTAATACCGACAGTGTTGCCCCATTCAAAAGAAAATTGCAATTATATATAGCTCCTAAAGAAAGAGCAAATGAGCATGTGTGTTACAACACGCACTCCTAGATCCACTGCAGCAGTTCCCATATTCCTAAGCCATTTTGACTGCAGCGTTTTATTGAGTAACAAATAGGAAGTCAGACAGATTGCAAACGTGGGTTTGCTTGATCAAACATGCAGGAAAGCCGGCAAAAAAAAAACAAAAACGGCGAAAACCAGACTCCCATGGGAGAATGGTTGCCGCTACCTGTCCCTCAGAAAGTCAGGTTTTCCGCTGTTCTTTTTCGTTTTTTTTCAGACCCCCAAAACAGGCTAAGTTCACTGGCAATTCTGTGCTTGAAGGTGATTGAGTCATTGAGTGAGTTGATCAAAGTGTATAATATGTCCACCGTGTGCCACCTCCAAATTCTGAGACTAAAGCAAGGATTAGAAGATTTGAATCTAAAAGAATCATGATAAACACAAATGACTCTAGGATATACCACTCCTGGAGATCCTTGAAAAAAAAAGGTACAACACAATTTCGATGTCCTCTAAACAAGCCAGGCATTACTGAAACGAAGATCATAAGAAAGCAATGCGATGCAATGCTTCTATAGGAATTCTGGTTCTCTGGGATATGACCACAATTCTATAATAGAAGAGCTCAATGAATTATGACAACCACTTTTGACGAACCAGTTTTGTTAACAAACAAATAGTAAACAGATTGAGCTTGAGACCTGAAGGAGGCCACTCCGAAAATGTGGTGTTTTGCTAGGCAAGCGGGAAAAACCGGAAGAAAAGCAACGGCTTCTTGTGGAAACATTTTTGCCAGCTACCTTTCTTTCAGTAAGTCTGTTTGGCGTTTGTTTCTTCCAGATATTTGTTGGTTCCCACCTGTCCCTCAAAGAGTTCGGTTTTCTGATTTTTCGGTTTTTTCTTGTTTAGAGCATGGAAAGTCCAGAGTAATTGCCCTTGGAATTGTCTTTTCTTGCGTCTTTGTCAGACCCAACACGAGCTAAATTCACTGGAAAGTTTTCTTTTTCATATTATCAGCGAACGGATTCCGCCGCGCTTGCACGGCAGCAGCAGTGCAGAGCGCGGTCTGTCTCTTGTTCAGAAGGGCCGGACCAGGTCGTTGCTGGTGCGGACCGGCCTTGTGGCGGTAAACTCCCGCAGCGTCGAATTCAAACGCTCCAGGGTGGCATAGCTCAATGTCAGAGCAATGCCAGAAAGCGGAGGGTGGACCTTAAACGAAGAAAGGTCCATTCCAGAAACGAATGGGCACAGAACATGGCGTCCAAAGCCCTGATCGCACCTCTGATGAAACGAATTCTCATGGCAACAGTCAGTTGCCCGTGACGAGCCGGCGGAAGATGTTGTGGATCTTTCCAGCACTCACCCTTTCCAGGCGAAGGGATCGGGTGATCACGAAAAGCAAAACTCAGGCACGCTGCGAGCTCAAACCATGAGATCTGTACACTCACGGCTTGATCACACATCTGCTCATGCAACCAACCGACGAGGCCAGCAACAAAGGTGACCCCGTACCGTGCAGCCCCCTCACAAAAACTCCAAGATGAGAGCCATCGTGGGGGTAGTCCAGTGCACCAATCGCCTCCTTCGAGGGGTGGGCGTACCAGGCGAGCGGCAGGCTCTTCGTAGTCAAAAATCACCGGGAGGTCGCCAGCGTAAAGCTTTGCCGCGACATCCAAATGAAGCGCAAGAAAACGGTCGATTGCAGCGCAGCTGTCCAAATAGTGGGCACGATAAAGCCCCCAAATCCGCCAAAAATCGGGAGGTCGCAAGGCATGTGCTTCCCTCGCAGCGGTGTCTGCGCGCTGATTCCAGTAGGCGGTCCAGTCCTCCAGGTCCTCGATGCGATCACGGACGTGCTGGATCCGCACAAACCCCTGCGGCAAATCTTCCAAAACTCGGCGTAAAGCAGCCCAAAGGTCGGAGTTCGTGTCCGGGGTCTCAAAGCTGTAGTCCAGAGCCAAGGCCGCACTCCCACACGCGGCGTAGGCGCTGTCAGACCAGATAGTTCCAGCGACTCCGAAGTGAGCAAGCCAGTCAGCCGCGGCCAAAATGGCCCGTAGTTTGGTCCGATTAACGTCTTGTTGGAGGCCACCAAGAGGGCCGGCTCCCAGCACTTGGTCGTGGGTGGCGGAGACGACCGCCCAAGAGGCATAAGCACATGCCGGAGAGGAAGGATGTGCACAACTGCCATCCGTGAAAAGGTCATGACGTTCCGCAGGTAGTGGTAGAAGTTGTTGAAGGGGTGCGTCATGTTGAAGGTGCATAGCCCACCGAAGCTGCCGCTCGAATGGGTTGGCGGACGGTAGAAGCCTCTCTGTCGTAGATCTCGGAAAAGCAGGCCAGTGTGAGGTAGCCCATGGGTGTTCAGCGTGAACTGCAGCGAGAGCAGGGCAGTCGCGACACCGATGCTCAATGGTGTCCTCCATACGGCAGTAGGCGCAGAGAGAGCCCTTGACTAAATCAAAGCGGCCATGGCTGGCCCCAGCAATGAAGGCACCCTCCCTCAGTGCGTTCACTCTGGCAGCATCCAACGCGGACAAGGTGGATTCGCGGGATGAGGGTGGCCACGAGATGCCATCCAGGCCTGCAAAATCCTGCCGATGCGAGACTTCCCGAGCAAGGCGTTGACGCCACGCATCATGTAGCCGCGACTGGATAGCCGGCCAGGGATCATGGAGAAGATCCAAGGTCAAGCAGAATTGGTGGCTCCGCAACCTTCCACAGGATGAGGTCGCATTGCTCAACGAGCTTGCTGAAAGGCCCACTGACCAGCTGCCCGATGAAGTGCTCCATAAAGGAACTCCAGAGGGCCATCAAGTGGTGGTTCTTGCAGAGGAAGCGCTTGAAGTCCTGAAAAACCCGAATGAGCTGATAGGCGCCTGGGTCCGCGACGATCGTGCCCGTGAGGAGCGCCAGCCTGATGCCCGGATGCGCTCCGGCGTGACCAAAGCCCAGAGCCCGGACCGCTTTGGTGCGTAGCTGCCCAATGTGTTGCCAGGGCATCAGAGTGATGCCAATGGCATGTAACGCCTTCGCCCAAAATGACTGAATGAGGATTGTCACCTTGGGTCTTGGGGTAGCCCATGATCGTCGAAGGCGTGGCCAGAGTGGGTCACGCTGCGATCCAATGCCACGACGTGCACAGTAGGAGAGTGCCCCTCCCAAATCAGCGTGCTGAAGTTCGACACGATGCCCGAGAGCTCGCAGCTGTTGGCGGTCCGCAGGATGAGTGGCCCAGAAGTAGGTCTTTGCATCGTCAAGTTGCATGCCCCAACACGAGAAAAACTCCTGCATGATACACCAGCCGCCAACGATGGAACCAACGTCCGTGCCGAAGAGCTCGAGATTGTCGACATAGGATCGCGGAATGGTCTTAGGGGCAAAAACGCTTTGGTAGGCATCCCAGATCCAATCAATAAGGATAGTCATTGAGACGACCGAAAGGCTGCAGCCCTCCGGCATCCCAGAATTGGATGTCAGCATGTCGCCAATGTGGTTCTGGATGTTGAAGAACCGCTCCGTGGTGTTGAGATAACGCTCCCACGCGTCAAGTATCCCAACAGGAAGCCCAATGTGTAGAGCCGCCTGGAAGAAGGGGCCGCGGGGCACGTGCTCGAAGGCTTTGACGATGTCGGTCACGCATCCAACAAGAGGTGTAGACTGCTGCAAGGAGCATTCAATGAGGGCTTGCGCCCAATGCCAAAGGTCGCCCGCCTCCCGACCCGGGAGAAAACCACGAATGCCCTCAGGGAGTATACTGCCGAGCTTCCGGATGAGTGAGCTAGCCCGTAGAGAACTCCATGTGCGATAGGCCACCGGGAAAATCACGATGGGGCGGTGCTGGTTGACGGTGGTGGCGGTTGAAGTCTTCGGCAGCGGCAGGCAGAAGCCCTTGAGTAGTTGTTGCGGCCACTCCTTCCCGTGCTCGATCAGGTTGAGCAGGGAAACCAGCTCTTCTTTGAAGGCGTCGGGCATCATGAGGAGATCAAGATGATCAAAGCCGTCTGGTCCTCTGGCCGCCCCGGTGTTGTAGCGCTTGTTGGTCAGATTCCAGGAGTGCACGGTGCTGGCCGGCGCGTGGAAAACCACCGGCGGCACGAAGGCCTGGATGAAGTTGAAGATGCGCTCCCATTCGGCAGCACGTGGGGGCACCGTAGAGTTCCAGCGGGATGCCCAAAACTTCTGGAAGTGGACGAGGATCTGGTCCGGTTGAGCAATGACTTGTCGCTGTTGTAGTGCCTGTCCGGGACATAGTAGGAGGTCTGAGGCCACACGGAACTGGCAGGGCCCGATGCGCGTGACTTGCGCGGGCGTGTCTTCCAGCATCCAATCCGAAATACCTTGTGGGATCATGTCAACATCCGTGAGGACGAGGGGCTCGTCCGGGTCGACATGCAGAACCATCGCGTCCTGCTGGACCGTGATGGTAGAGACAACGGACTTATCGCGTTGGTGAACGTCTCGGAATGCCTCCTTGAGAAATTGAGCAGCTTTGCCTCCGGGAAAGTGCATCTGTTCTCGATGGGCAGGGACATCGCTGAACTGAAAAACGCCTGACCACACCCCAGCGCTCAGGCTGCGGGCCCTCAAGGGAACTGGCTCCCCTGGGACCAACCACAGGCGTCGGTTGTCACTGTCCGCAAACCGACGAAAGGTCCGGCATACTGCCTTGATCCCCGGCAGCGCCAGATGCGTTTCTGCGAAGTTCAGGATGCCGTATGGCAGGTTGTAGCATGTGAGCTCCTTCGAGCGAATGCCCGATGGATTGCCGAAAGTGATCGCCAATGGTGGTCCAGGATTGGCAGCTTCACCAATGGCTTCGAATTCAGCTGGTGGGGCACGGGCTCCGAGAGACATTGATCGTAGTGAGCCAAAGGGCCCGATCGGCCCCGAATCTTGAAGGAAGGCGTCTTTGGGGGCCCGTTGATAGCCATCGAAGATCTGCACCAAGCTGCCCCAATGAGCCGGGGCTGCATTTGATGGGACGCCAAGGTTCCTCATCAGACTGAAGCCCAACCAATCTGGTGGAGCATGTGGAGGACCACGGCCAGTAGTCATGCTACTGCTGCAGTAGGAAGTCCTTATAGCCGAGGATGCTCTGCTCAGGGTGTTGGATGTGGCTCTCGCCGAAGTAGCGATCAGCCTCCTGCAGCAAATGTGCATAGATCCAGAGCGCTTGCATCGGAGCGGCAGCTTGCCCAAGCATGGGAAGCGAAGCCCGACCAGGCTCCAGAGGGATGATCGGGAAGGTGAGCAACAGGGCAGCCATGTAGTAGGCGAAGTCGATCATCGGGATGTGGTAGTACACCGAACCCGCGAAGTCCGTGGTCACGCAATCGGGCCTCGCAGAATCCAGTGCGTCGGCACCCGCATGGACAGCCCATAAGGGTGTGGCCGTAGCTGCGCAAGATGATCGGGCATGGCACATCAGGGTTGGCCACCCGGGTATCACTCCAATAGGTTTTGTTCATGTAGTAGGCGAGCTCGTGGTGCGTGAAGCGCAAGGCCTCCACATCCGAAGGTGCCCATGAAGGCCATCTCGAAAGAACTGAGTCCAGCCGCTTGAAGCGAGGGTCCACTGGCCAAGGCCGAAGTGCTGGCAGCGGCATCTGTTGAGGGAGCAAAAGCGCCCACCATCGCGTGCGTCGCATTGGCCACAGGTCCAGCTTGGTTTGCACCAGATGCCAGCCCATGCCCTGTCCAAAGTCACGTAGAGCTTGTTGCAGAGGGAGGTGATGAGCCACCTCAACCACACATTCGAGGATCATTCCAGCTGCCTGGTGCAAATAGGCCGATCTCAGAACGCCCCCAAAGGCTTGGGACCTACTGTCGAGGAAGGCGAGCCCATCGCCTTGGCGGCTGAAAGGCTGACATGGGAAGCCCGCAGTCTCCACTGCCGGGGAGGAGCCGCCCGCGTGATGCAGACGAAGGAGATCATAATCCGAATTGACGTTGCCCTCCAAGATCTCCCCGGTGTAGTAACTTTTCAGGTGGCGGACCGCGAACTTGTTGACGTCCATGGCCGCGCAAACTGTGGCTCCGCTGGCAATGCAGCCGTGTCCAATGCCCCCAATGCCGGCGCAATTCTCCTTGACCCGAAGAAAGCTCCCCATGGAGACCGGGCCGGCGAGAAGCACCTGCGACTCTGGCGTCAGGAGCAGTTCCGGGCCATCTCCAACCATGAAGAAGTACAAGGTGAAGCGGGAACCTGGGGTCAGGGCAGGGCGCACCGAGACCGCCTGCAGCGAGCCCAAAACGCGGCACACCGTCGTGCCCCCATCCTCCTGTCGCTCCGCCGCGACCACCCCCGTGTAGGTCTGGCCCGGAATGACCGGGCATAGCCATGGCCT